TCCAACAAGAACCATATCTTGGATACAATGTTTTATGCATCAAGGAGTCTCCTTCTTTCAAGTATCTCCATGCTAATTTAGCCCTTAAAGGACCCATTTTGTTGGAGCATGAATGTAGCCCTCTTCCTCCATGTTCTAGTGGTTCACACATTTTATTCCAGCATACATAGTGCAAGCCGTGCCCATCGTTCGAATTATTCCGTATAAAGTTATGACATAATTTCTCTATTTCTTCCAGAACACTTCTTGGAACTAGAGAAACCATAGAATGAAAGGAAGGAAGAGAAAGGATAACCATCTAGACCAAAGTAATTTTACCTGCCAATGAGATTAACTTTGATCCCCAACTGTTGAGCTTCTTCATAACATTATCTATCATGAATTGGAAGTCCACCATGGAAAGTCTCCTTAATGCCAATTTAGTTCCAAGATAGTTGAACTCCTTACCTCCTTGAATCCCATAATGCTTTTAATCTTCCTTTTCTTTCTTCTTTTGACAGCTTTCCCAAATAAAATTCCAGATTTGCTTATGTTGACCTTTTGGCCAGTCCAATCACAATACCTCTTGATAATGCCCTTGATAATCTTCACATTTTTAAATTTTGCTTCAACAAAGAAAATGACATCATTCGTGTATAGAAAATGAGAGATCCTTGGGCTGTTGTGGCTCACCCGAACACCAATTTCTTCCTTCTCCATAATAGAATTAGAAAGAAGCTGAGAACACATAATAAAAAGGTAAGGCGACAAGGGACACCCCTGTCTGAATCCACTCCTGGCATTGATCCAATTACAAGGATTCCCATTGATCAAAATAGAGAAAGAAGGATTTTGAACACATTCCATGATGAGCATAGAGAAGAATTCAGTAAATCCAAAATAGATTAGAACTTTATGTAGAGTGGCCACCCCATCGGGTCATAGGCCTGTTCCATGTCTAACTAGATGGACACTAATCCTTTAGATGCTTTAGAGTATCTAAATTTGTGGAATAGTTCTTGAGCAATCAAAACATGTTCTTGAAGAGACCTCCCCTTGACAAAAGCTGCTTGCTCTAAGGAGATTAGTTTTGGAATGACACCATTTAATCTATTGAGAAGAACCTTGGAAGCTACCTTGTAAACCGTGTTACAATGGCTAATAGGCCTATAGTTAGATGCAGATTTCGGATTGTTGATTTTGGGAATTAAAACAATAATAGTTCTCTTCCAGTTAACATTCATTTCAGCCGTTTCAAAAAACAGTTTTAAAGCTTTCCAGAAGTAAAATTTAATGATAAACCAATAGCTTTTAAGAAAGGAATAAGAAATTCCATCCTCACCTGGAGATGTGAATCCACTAGTTTCTCTTAATGCCTTCTCCACTTCATCAATAGTGAAACTGCTGTTGAGCTAAGTTTTGTCCTCCTCTTCCAGGCTATGTTGATTATCCGGCCAACCCTCTAGCAAGCATCTCCTATCACACCATTTATTTTTGAAGAATTGAATTAAAACATCTTCAATCTGATTTTTCTCTTCCACCATATTCCCGTTTCCATCCTTAATGCAAGGGATGAAATTTGTATTCTTTCTAGCACTAGCAACGGATTGGAAAAATTTGGAGTTTTGATCACCTTCAACAATCCACTTTACCTTGGATCGTTGTCTCCACCAAGTGCATAACAGTGCCAATGTAGAATTGAGCTCATTAATTATAAATTTCAGCAAGTAATATTCATCTAATCTTGTTGAACATTATGTTTTGACATTTAATCTCAATTCTTTAAATTGGTCAAAGTAGCTTGACCATTGGATTTATGAGCATATAAAATTTTTAGAAGTTCGATCCTTAGACTTGTTAAACCCTATGTTTTGATATTTAGCCTTAATCTTTTAAATTGATCAAAGTAGCTCAACCCTTAAGTTTATGAGCCTGAAGAATTTCATTTGACTAACACGGGTAGATCATGCAATTTTATATAATTAACTCTTATTAAAAATTACCTCCTGTCTTGCAGGAGTATATAAACATTGCTTCCAACCTTGCAAGAATATATAAAATTGTATCCTTCTTTGCAGTAGTATATGGTGATTGCCTTGTCACTTGCAGGAGTATATAAAAATTATCTTGTCTTACAGGAGTATATAAAAATTATCTCATGTCTAACAAGATTATATAAAAATTATCTTCTCTTTAGCCTCACAACTCTATTCGTGTGTGGCTTCTTAGTCCATACCTGCGAGGCAAACCGAACGCGGAAGGATCTGCGCCACGCTTGATCCGACAGCCTGTAACCACCATTTCTGCCTGCATTTCCCGCCCGAGTGGCCTTCAACTGCCAACCTACGTGTCGGTTACTTCTTCTAAGAAAGATAGGAGTTTGAAGGGCTTCCATTCTTCTCTTCTTCCAAAACTAAAAGCAAATGGCTGCTATATATTTTCTTTGTTGCAATTAGGGAAGCAAGAGAGTTTCCTTCTTCCCGAAGACCAAATCCTACAAATTTGTGACCGCAAAGCAACATGCAGAAGCTTTCAAATAGTAAGGACAGCAACTTGGAAACTTTGGACAAAAAACCCACCTTCCGGAAAGGCTTGGACAGTAGTTCGCCACTTCTTGCCCTCCTCAATCTCTCCTTTACAAAGCGAGGGGATAGTTGTTGGTGCTGTAACTACCAAACAAGGTAAAATTCCTCAGAACTAAGGAAAATCCCTAGGTCTCTAAGCCATGATTGTGCGTATAACACTCCAAGACCCTTTAGGTCCCTTAGAAACCTTGCATTCAAGTTTCTAAACCTAAAATAAAGCCCCTATTCGATGTCCTCTTCGCAAAACAACGGGAACCTAATGATTTTTTATTGTTTTCTCTCTGATGAGAGCCAAAGAGGCATGCCAATGCATGTAAAGTGGCTGGATTTGTGTCCAGAAACCCCCAAATGCATGATAAAACATTCATTCATCTTGTGTCTTAAACTGCTACCTATTTGTTATACATTTGTTGAAAATTTTGATGGAGAAGTAAAAAGAGAGTAAGGATGATTTATATATGATATTTAATGATTTAGAGAAATTATATGATAAAGTTTAAAGAGAAGTATTCTGGAGAATTTTAGAAAAGAAAGGAGTTAATAATACTTATATTCAAGTCATTAAGGATATGTATATAAAAACTATCACTTATGTTCAAACACAAGGTTGTTTTATCAAGTATTTTCCTACTTCAGCTTCAAGCCCATATCTTTTTGCCTTAGTGATGAATGTTCTTATTAGACATTTGCAAAAAGGATGTAGCTTGGTGTATGATTTCTACTGATGATATTCTTCTTGTTGATAAAACTAAAGAGGGAGTTGATGAAAAGCTTGAATTATGGAGGTCAACCTTAGATTCTAAAAGCATTTGAGTAGATCTAAAACCAAATATATGAAGGAAATTTTAGTAGTAATAGATCTAGTAGTGGGATTGTGAATTGGGTGATCAAATTTGATGTAGGCAAGGGGGGGGAGGGGTGGGCTTTTGGAAATCCTATGAAAACTAATGCTTGGAATGATGTGGCTTTTGGCATTCCTTTTCTTTGCCTATAAAAATGAGATGATGTTGAGAAGAAAAAAAGTGATATGATGTGATTTTTGGAAGCCATAACCTGCGGGTTCTTCTTGGAAAAGCTTGAGAGCTTTGTCCACCTTCTTCCACCTCTTCTAGAAATCTTGCGAGCTCTTTCCAACCTTCGTCTCGGCTTCTAATCTCTTTCATCTCTCCGCAAGTGACCACCCCACCTGTATCCCTCTTCTCTAAGTGAAGCAACTTTAGGGTGTCATGCTTGAGTCGTTTAATTTTAAGAGTCAAGTTTGTAAGTGTCATGAAATGAAATAGTTTTCTCTAATATTATAAAAGTATATTTGTTTCTTATTTTTATGTCTTTTTAGAATTTGGTGGATTTCTTTAGCAATTTTAGTATTTCTTTTATATAGGAAGTCTCTCTTTTTTGTGATCAAAAATTTGGGTCCCTCTCCCAAATTTTTGATTGCATCAGAATCATTAAAAGAAGTGCATGTTTTAGATATCTCGGGTCTATATTCAAAGAGATAGTGAAATAAATGAGAATATTATTAGTAGAATTCAAGTTGGATGGTTGAAGTGGAGGAATGCATCAGGCATGTTGTTTGATAGAAAAATTCCCCTCTAAATTTGAGGGAAAATTTTATAAGATGGTTGCAAGACCTGCAATTTTATATGGAGTAGAATGCCGATCATTAAAAGAGAAGCATAAAATTAAGTGTTGCAGAGATAAGGATGCTTAGGTGGATGAGTGGCTTTGGATTGGAGAGAAAATGTGAAACGAGTGTATACGTGAAATGGTTGGCACAGGTCCAATGGCAAAATAAGATTACAGAGAGTAACCTTAGATGGTTTGCTCACTTAAAACATCGGCCTTCTGATGACCTTGTGCGGAGTGTATATGTATTAGACCATGTTTATGTTAAGAAAGGTAGAGGTAGAGTTAAAAACTTGATTAGAAAGTATTTAAAATGATTCTTTTAATTAAATTTATATAAAAATTTGATTCTTAATAGGACACAATGAAGAAAAATGATTAATGTAAACGAACCCTGTAGTGGTATAAAGGTGTTAATTCTATTTTATTTTGCAATTAGCTTTCATTCATATCACAATAAATTCCCACAAAATGATTGCCTAGAATCATATAACTCATATGATGATAAACTTGTACAGTAATATATCAATCTGTGGTCAATCTGATTCTTAGATGACCTATAATCAAACATCAAATCACCGGCTTAGGATTAAATAATTTCAGAAACATACTCCTATGTGATGCTAAAATGCATAGGCAAGAAAGATAGATAAAATTGTAGACTACAATATTTGCAAAAAGGCAACGTAAGAAGAAAGATAAATGATTTCAAAGCACCAAAATATAAGGAATGAAATTTTCATAATACAATTTGGTTTTTACAGAATGATTTGTCCGATCACAGATGTAGATCAAACGTGTCCAACATACCTGTGTTTCCTAAGAAATTCATCTTCTTCACTTAAGGCTTCACCAGAAGGACGTAAAGAGCTCTGCACTGGATATGTAGACCATGTACTCGGAGTGGGTAGGTCATCAGAAAAATATCTCCTCCTAACCAGCTGGCACAGAAAAATTTCTCAAATATTAGAGTTGAGGGCATGTTGTTGGATAAAGAAAGAATGATATGCAATGTACGGTTAAAACCATTTCGAAGAACTTTGTTATGGCTTCTTTGTCATATCTTGCTTCTTTAGCAGCCTGTCATTTCCAGTGCATGAAAAATAAATGAGTCATTAAACTTCTAATTCAACAACATACAGGAATCCTTTCAGTATTTTGTGTCTGTGAGATAGAAGATAATTCTCTCTCAATTTCACATAAATTACAATCCAACAACACAGGGCATGCCTGAAAATTCCCCCTAATTATTCCTGCCAAAGCCAATGGATAAATAATATTATAAAAAGGTCCAACTTAAATACGTAAGACCACCCACAGCTACATAAATGCATTTAATCATGCTAAATTCCTACCGAGGATTATGCTCATAAGCAATACAATATGAGAGTAATTAAGTAATGCGCGCACGTTTATATACATATACCAATGTTCTAAAAGGTAGAGATATAAGGTGGGGAGTTTAGCTTGACATGGTGCTCAAGCTCCAAATAAATTTTATTTTTTAAATATTTCATGAATAAAAAGAAGGATTAAAATCAGATAAAAGGAAAAAAATTCAAATCAAATTCAAATTTCACAGCTCATAATCCTTCCTTATATATTTTAATTCTAAACTATAATAATACAAATGTATAATAATGGTCAGCAATGATGATCACATGTTCAATTGAGAAGACTCAATCAAAGATTATTATACAAATATCAACAATTATACAGAAACATACATTCATGATGGATCCAAATTTGTTTGTGGATGCCGCCCTATCCTACAAGCAAGTTTTCAATAGTTTAGATTGATGACATTAGAGTTATCACCCTCAATAATTATTCCCTTGTAATGAAACATTCAACTTTGGATATATTCTCTAATGAAGAGGACCGCTTCCAACTCTAAATGAGCAGCATCCCAATGTTTCATTTGCTTTCCAACCACCAAAAGAAACAGTCCCTTGTGATCTCTAAAAACAGCACCAATGCCCGCCCGTATAGGATTTCATAAGAGAAGCATCCAAATTGATTTTGATCCAATCTAGGGGTGGGGGATGCCAAACATCGGTGGACTCTAAAAGGACGTTAGCATCTCAGTCTTCTAGCATCGGATATTTAGATGACTACATAAGGGATATTAAAACATTTGATGCAATAACATTTATTAAAGATGTCACCAATCCAAACTTTATTTCATTTCTACTCCTCCAAGATTAATAAACAGCTATACATATATTTTGACTATGTTCAAATTGAAATAAGAAATTATTTTCAGCTCATATACCCACTCCATAAAGGTTTTGAAAATAGGAACTTGCAAACCCCATTCACGCAGCCTATTAAGAATCTCAATTAAAAATTTGCACTGGACTGAAATGTGTGTTTGGTTCTGCACCTCATTACATCCTCTAGTACAGCAATTTGATTGTAAAAGATTCCTATAGTTGAGAAAAGAGTTAGTAGGAAAAGCATCCTTACATAGTCTCCACCAAAACATTTCAACCTTAAGAGTAAGTTTGAATTTTCTGATCCAGTTCATTGTCTCAGGTTGCTGATCTCCATTCTCCAATGTTGCTTCAAATGCTAAGGACGTGATTGTTCTTTTGGAATGCTGATTTATTAACTCAACACAGTCTTTCTCCATATCAAGGAATAGAGGAACTTGCATAAAGATCAAAACAAAATCTTCATCAAAAAATTTCTGCAACTCCGAGGAAATCTAGCTACCATCCTCTGCAATGAATTGATTAACTGAAACTCCTAATTCAGAACAATTCGCCAGCGCTGGCCATTTAAATAGAAGCTTGTCAAAGATCCACACATCATTTAAAGAGTTAAATATTTTGGCATTTTCCAATCTCCATCTAATGATATTCTTTAAATGCTTTACTCCATTAACCATAATCCGCCAGGAAGCAGAGACACCCCTCTTAACATTGGCACACCAAACATCACTCCCATACTTAGAGATAACAATACGACTACATAAGGAAAGAGGATTCTACTGAAATCTCCAAGTAATTCTAGATCTCAAAGGACCAACCTTGTTCACCAAGGAATAAATAAAAAATCCTCCAAACATCTTGAGTTTACAAAGCTCTTCCCAAGCCACATAATGCAGTCCTTTCCTTCATTTATCCTTATGCCATAAAAAGTCTCTACACAACTTATCCAGCTCATTCAGTACACCCTTAAAAGCCCCGAATAAGTAGACCAAAGAATAAGAAGTGAAAGAAATGTACTTTAAATAAGAAGAGTCCTACCAGCCAAAGAAAGCACCTATTGCCCCAAGCATTTAACCTCTTCAAAGCATGATCTAAAATGTTATGGAAATCAAAACTTACTAACCTTCTCATGGTCATTTTCACTACCAAATATTGCATTTCTTTAACAACTTTGAGTACCATCCATAGAATTCAAACATAATTCTCTTCATAAACGGAGCGAAGCCGAGCGGCAATGGAGGAGATGGGTTCGGCCGACTGGAGGTTCGGTCGTGGCTCTGGAGGTCGGGACTCTGGAAGAGGAGCTACGGGAGAAATGAGCGAGAGTGTCGTGTGTGTAGCAAATGGAAGGAAGCAGGGCTTCTATTTAACGACGCGAACAGGCGACAATCGAGGAGCTGCTGTGGGATTTGCGAGATCAGACGCGAACGGCGCGGATTTCAGCTGGATTCGTGGATACAACGGTCTTACAGGTATTATTTACGGGATTTTTTCTTTGTTTCTTCTGGATTTTATACAAAGGTCAAAAATAGCGCATAGTAAATCTGAGATAGTTTCAGATTTAGGAGTTAGCTTAATTCTTAAATCAAAACCTCTTTGATAAATGGAGTTAGATAATAATTGTGAGCACATTATATACAAGGGGACAAAGGGCACCCTTGTCTAAACCCACTTCTAGCTTCAATTCAATCTGAATTTCTAATATTTAGAAGAATAGAAAATCTTGCACTTTGAACACACTCCAAGATGAGGTTTGAGAATTTAGAAGGAAACACAAATCAACTCAAAACCATAGATAAGGTTGACCAACCCATACTATCATAGGCCTGCTCCATATCGATTTTAAGTGCCATAAATCCCTTCTTTGCATTAGAAAATATGAGCTTATTAAAGATTTCTTGAGCCAAAAGACAATGATCAGACATTGATCTTCCGCGAACAAAAGCAACTTGATCTTCAGTGATTATCATCGGCAAGCACCCTTTCAATTCATTCATAATCATTCTAGCCACCACTTTATAAATGGTTTGACAAAGACTAATAGATCTAAAGTGGGAAGGCTCCACCGGATTCTTCATCTTTGGAATTAAAAAAATCAACTTGTCCTTTTATTCAGGATGCATTTTACCTTTTTTAGAAAAAACAATCTAAAGCTCTCCATAGATCTTCTTTAACAATGCTCCAAAAGAACTTTATGAATGAGAAGTTTACACCGTCTAGCCCCGACGACTTGTTATTTCCCAATCTCTTCACAGCCTCCACCAAATCTTCTTTTGTAAACTCCACATTCAGCAACTCCCACTCAAATTTTTCAATTTTCTGATGATTAAAAACTTCTGGCCATTCCAAAAGATTGTATCTTCTATTTTTCCATTTCTGACAAAAAAACTTATAAAACACAGTTTCTATCCTGCCTTGATCCTCCACAATTCCGTCACTTCCATCCTTAATCTGATTCATCCACTTCTCAACTCTTCTAGTTGACGCATATGCATGAAAGAAATTAGAATTTGTATCTCCCTCTTCAATCCATCTTGCTTTAGCTCTCTATTCCACCAGGAGGCTAGCCGAGCCAAGGTAGCATTAAATTCACGAATTTTACTTCTAAGAAGTTGCGGTTCCTTCTGATCCAGTCCCTTTTCCGAACTTTCCTTCAATTGCATCTCCAAGATCCCCTGCTGCAACCCCACCTTCAATGTAGAGAGGTCCATCAACTTGTTTTTATTCCAATAATACAACGATTTAATGCTCTTTTCATCTTCCTTTGCAAAATCTCCGCTACATTACCACAATCAGCTCTCCACCAAGCTTTAAGAACAATATTCCAAGCTGCAAGATAAGGCTTCCACACATCATAAAATTTGATAAACTTATGAAGAGGTCTTGAAGTCTCATTAATCTTGAAAATAATAGGTGAATGATCCAATGATACTAGCAAGGTGCCTCACCATAGCATAAGGAACCTTCTGAAGAGTAGCTGAATTTAATAAACATCTATACAGCTTTTCCCAAATCCTTGAGCTGCCTTCCTTATTATTGCACCAAGTATATCTTGGTCCAATAAAACCTGCATCATGAAAATCATTGTTAGCCATAAAAGCTCTCATTTCATGAGGTCATTGGGAGAAAATAAGCCTCTTTAACCCTCTTTATCTTCTGTAGACAAAATACAATTAAAATCCCCTCCCACAATAGCAGGGATTTCAGAAACCAACTCCTTCTGAAGACACTACCACAAACTTCTTCTAACATACAAGTCCTTACTCCCATACACCGTAGCAACATTGCAACTACCTTTGTTAGCAATATGGAGACACCCAAATACCAATTGAGATGACTCAAATCTCACATCAAAGCTACTCTTCGACCTCCTCCATAACACTAGAATAACTCAAGCCATACCACTAGCTGGATGATGAAAAAAATCCCACTCCTCCCCATAGTGGATTGTTGTAACATACTTTTTCTTTAAATCTTTGGCTTCTTTATATGAATGACTAGAGTGAACACTAATCATTATAAAGCTTACTTCATGATGGTAAGTAAATTTTTCTAAATATTTAACTCAGCTAAAGAAAATAATGATAAATCAGCTATCAATGAGAATATATTGGTGTTCACCTGATGCAATCAAAAATTTAGGAAGGGATCCAAATTTTATCAAAAAAAGAAGACTCTTCCTAGATAATAGAAAGACACAAATGTACCCAAAAAGATATAAAATACAACAAATTTGACAAATAAACCAAAACAACTCACTTTTATAATATTAGAAAAGGACACTTACAACTCTTGAACACAAACAACACAAACATAAAATACACCTAAAGTTGCTTTGCCTTGAGAAGAAGGATACAAGTGGAA